CTGAAATCCCCAGTCTGATTGTTCTATTTACTACCTCACTTATTGTAATTGTTTAAAATTGAAAATAAATATTTGACCTTTTTCAGCGACGTCAACAGAAGAGCCGACTGTAGGTGGTATTTGTAAAAGGATCGGAATGGATTAGAGCTTCTATTTTCAGAACTTTGATACATACTAATACTTCAAATGGTTATGTGTTATTTTCGTTTTAAAATCAATCCTATTACAAAGTTCCTAACAGATCAAACTTAAATCACTTTTTGTGAAGAGCTGACGGAGCAAGTCAATTCAATAACATCCGAATCTTACGTCAAATACATTTTTAGTAAGAATTTAATTTTTCAATTGCCAGAACTTTTAATATAAATTGTAATTCCCGTTCACAATGCAATATTCAAGCTGCTACATCAGGGATCGTTTCTCAATTAACAAATATAGATCTTCCTTTCCAGATTGAATTTTGTTGCATACTATGACCCATGAAAATGATATCTGTGTTCACAGAACACATAATATACCTCTAATTGACTGGATTTATAAATGAATTCAGTACACTTTGCTAATAATTGTAACTTTTCATTGCAAAATATACTCCACGGGTTTTGGCAACGCTCTAATAGAATCCATAGAGCTAAAACCAATTAAATGTTTTTAAAGATATTTTAAGCCTTAAGTAATCTATGAGCCTGAAGGTTACATCATTAACAATAATTAGTATATTTGGACAGGGAAGAAGTATAATAGCCTCCTTACTGTTTTGACTTCCTTTCTCAGTCTTTAATAATTTTTATTAGGAAGTTGGTTTAATGATGCTTCCGATGTTCATGTGAAATGGAACGTAGCTTCTATTTACACTAGAGACGCAATAACAAATATTGAACTGTTTTATTTAATATAACTGGAAATAAATTTATGGATAATATAGATTGAGATTAAAAAGAAATTAATTTTTTCTTTTTCCGTTTCAAGCTCAGGACAAAGCAATGCAATGAGCAATGGGGGAATTTAGCCTTGACATTGGCATCGACCTACAATTTTTTTTTTACTCCAAATGACGACGGAGCGTGAACAAGAACCTCTTGAAACAAACAAGAGCCTTGGTTTATCATTTCATTCAAACATTTATACATTTACGATATTTTTGCATTATTAAATATTATAAATGCATCAGAAAGTTTTCAGGTATTTTATTCAATATAGGCCTTAAATGAACAGTTTTGGTTGCAGATTACAAAAGGTAATATTAAACTGAGAAAACCACCTGTTTGTTTAAAATTTAGGTTAGTAATTATTTAGATATAACGGTCTATATATTGATTTTATATCCCAATGATAAATGAGTTTCCTTTGACAGCCCAATGACCCTGACAGAATAGTGGTTTATAATCGAAGCAATTTAATCCTCTCCGGAATAATTCTCCTAAATTTTCTTCCGTAATAAGATTGAATATCTCTCAAACTTGTTATTTTGGGGACCAAACTCTGGTGAACAAAATTTGGTTCCCTTCTATCTGACTCAAGGTACATGAGAACCAACATGTTCCCTGAATAAATTCTTTAGACATAGAAATTGGTACTTTTTCAAGTAGAATCACTTGCATCAGAACAGTTATGAAACATTAGCTATTCTGAGATATGGTTGGAAGAAGCCTTTTTCCGAAAATTTTCAAAATGTATATTGGATTGGACATCGTTGTCGGTGTCATGTATATTAAACATATAAACAATATATCTGAAATCTCGGAAAGTAATTGAATTACATAAGCCTCTACAAAATTAGTTATGTACGATGAAATGCAATTTTTCTCACACAAAACATCCGATCACGCCAAACTCATGTCACAAGGAAAGAAAAACCGTCACGTATGATTAGAAGTTTAAAGTGCAATAGATACACATTCATGACATAAGAAAAACATTACTGATAAAAAGCACAACAAAGAGAATGACTGAAAGAGAGTATCACTGGTAAATTGCATGACTCATAAAAAGCATGACGAAGATCATGAGTGATAAAGGACATGACTGAAGAAGAACATGACTGGTAAAAATCATAATTAGGAATTAAGAAAAAAATGTCCGTAAAAGAACATGCTTTCTAAAGAGCAGGACTTATAAAAAACATGTTATGAAAAGAATGATTGTTAAGGAACATGACTGATAAGGAACATGACTGTTAATGAACATGATTGGTAAAGAACATGACTGATAAAAACATAACTGATAAATGGCATGATTGGTAAAATGCATGACTGACTAAAAACATGACTGCTCAAAAGCATGACTATGACTAATAAAGAACATGAATGATATAGAGCATGCCCGGAAAATTATTGGTGAAGAACATGACTGATAAAGAGCATCAATGGTAAAAAGATTAACAAAGAACATGGCTGCTAAAGAGCATGACTGATAAAGAACATGATTAGCAAAATGCACAAGTCTCGGCTATATTATGAAAGATAATGAGATACTGTTGTACTTGTACCATAACATGATTTGTAGATGTGAATATCATCAGCTAATCCCAAATCATTCTATCTACTTGTATGACGCAAGTCTCCAAGATCTCTGATAAATATTGATAGGAACTTTCTAAATGTTAATGAATTTATAAATCTATTTACAGAAAAACGAATCACTTAGTAATAACCCAGAGAATTGTTTTAATTATTTCATTTTAGCAAACAATTACTATTTCTAAACATTCTATCACTATTAAAAAATCCATTTCTAGGAATTCAAAAGATGTTTTGAAGCCTTTGTATGTCTTTTAGGGACGGCTAATAGTTCAATTTACACCGTTTTCATTCCGCGTGCGATCGAACACATGACTTTCTTCAAAAAATATGTTTTTAGCTTCTGTATGTTTTTTATTGTACACATAATGCTTCTATTTACATTGATCCTATTCACCGTCCTACTGAATATGTATGCACTATAAGAAAAAAAAAGATGTGTTGTCATTACTGGCTTATTATAAAAATAGATACATTTATATGTGAAAGAAATGATGCTAATTATGTTTAAATTAAAGAAATAAATTTCTTTTCTTTGTCTCAGTAGTAATTTATCTTATCGTTTCTTTCAGGATTTATACCTTGCAGTACTGCAAATGCTGCTCTCTAGAAATGAAGAGCGGATTTATCTCAATGTACCGCAAGCTACAAAGGTTTTCAGAAACAAATTTGATATCTTTTTGGTCGAAAATGCAGATGGTTATCCTTCGAACAATACACATAGGCTATGATTGGATTTACTGTTTAATTAATTCTTTTTCTTTGCTTACCTACTTAAATCCTGTGATTGAAAGTTAGGTTTTGTCTCCATTTCCAAAAATTTGTTTCATCCAAATAGGTAAGTGCTGTTGTTTTATTAACTCGAAACCTTTAAAAAACACAACATAAATTTTATGTCTGGAATACAACATCATAAGCCTTTGCAAAATATTTCTTATACTGGTAGGATTTGTCCACTAATCTGTTTGGTAAATGAAATTTATCTTTCTAACAGTTATAAATGGGAGGTAACTTGTAAACTAAACATGAGTTATGTCCCTTTGAATTGAAAAAATTAATGGTGCGCAGAGAAAACTAAGTAGGTCAAATCGAGTGAATCATGTCATGTGATTGAAATAAGTCACATGATGAACTAATTTACGGGATTAGATCTATTATTGTTCTTCACAAACAGCTATCACAATGGAAGGAAAGGGTTCGATTTTAGTTCTGCTCATAGCAGTTATTGTTGTAAATGAAGCTCACAATTTGAAATTCAAGTCTCTTCAGGGCTCGAAGTCAGCGTGCTACAAACCGAGTAAAGATTATAAACCGGTCAGGTAGGCTCCAACTTCTATTATATTAAGGTGTATATTGAGAGCTTATACAAGTAGGAAAATTTCCATCACAAAATATTTTCACTGCTATAAAAGTGCTCAATACATCAATGTAGAGTGATATTGAAATATATTAATAAGACCTAATAATTAGGGAATCTGTTGAATTAGTGCTCCAGACACAAAGTAGTGTGAAATAGAAGTATATTAAGTACGTATATAATGAAGGATAATTAACAATATTTATGGAAGACTAATCATGAACTTATATACGTGTATTTCTTTTCATATATATACCATTTAAGCTTATTTCGAGATAAAACAAGATACTTGCTTGGATTTTCATTCTATAACCATTCATTATTAGATTGTGGTCCCTGTATTATTACTTCAAGGGAAGGTAAATTCTTCCTTGCCTAACAAGTCGTGTTATTTTATAGTTAAAAATGTGCTTTGAATCATATTAATGATCACACATTAAAATCTTCCTTATTCTTTGTGACGGGGTTAGGTACGATTTTGTCCGCTCATAAACAAAGCCAATCGAAACTACATATTGCTTTCACATAATGCAAATATTGTATAGCCAACAACATAATTTCATTTTATAGCTACAAGTAATTTGATACAAATAAATACTTCAATTTAGGAAATGAATATGATTAAAATGTTATAATTATTACTTATATAAACGAGGAAGCTCATATTCACGTGTCTGTGAATCACGCATTGTTAATGATTTCTATCCTCGAAAATCAATGACATGCATTTTCTGACTAGAAATATAAATATAAAACATTCTATGCTTATTTGCATACCATATACATGTACCTTATTTGCATACCATATACATGTACCTTATTTGCATACCATATACCTTAATGGAATAGGTTACCGTAATTGCATACCATTTACCTTTTGGCATCACTGCTTTTAATCTTATTATAAATCAATAAAAACAAAGTGAAAATCACATCAAGCGCATAAATAAACCAAGTACTTACGATTCGAAAGAAAAACGAAATTCGGTTTGCTGCATCTGCAACAGGTATTACATATTTATGGTACTGTAATTTTACAGCATCTTCAGAAACGTCTTTATTCAATGCATATTTGCATGCAATCCCTTTTAGGTGTTTTTATTTGAGTTCTGATATTTTTTTTCAGAACTTACCCTCGTCCCCAGCAATTAAAGAATGTTTTGTTGCCAAAAGGTTTCGACTGGAGAAATGTTAGTGGTGTAAACTATGCCAGCACAACTAGAAACCAACATATACCACAATGTAAGTTGTAAAATTTTTATTGAAGTATATTTTACAAAGAACTATTGAATTGTTACCCTGTGGTCCGTTTCAGAACAATGAATAACAAAAACCAATTTATAATTCAGTTTACACTTGATATTGTTTAATGGTCTAGACTGTTCATCTGCATATTATACTTTATACATATCGATGATGATTTCAACTGCCACAAATTGCTATAAATCGTTTTAGAGTTATTGCCCTTGTAAACAACTGCCTGGAATTTTCATTGTATCAATGTAACTAATATTTTATCAAGTAATAAAAGGTATAAACACTGACTGAATATGCTACACATTTTGTTCTTTTACAGATTGTGGATCATGCTGGGCTCACGGTTCTACAAGCGCCATGGCTGATCGAATCAATATCAAAAGAAAGGCAGCTTGGCCTTCTGCCTATTTATCAGTACAGAATGTATTAGATTGTGGCAATGCTGGAACTTGTCACGGGGGAGATGATAAAGGTGTCTATGTCTATGCTCATGATAAAGGAATTCCAGATGAAACATGTAACAACTACCAGGCCAAGGATCAAAGTAAGTTGATTGTTCGCTTATCACTCTCAACATGATTATGCACAATCATGTACATGACACAATTATATATCTTAATCTCTTCTTTAGCACTGTTGTCACAACACAAAAGCTTTTCAATTCATTGATATAGTTTTTTTCTATAGATCAAAGAAGTGCGGTATTTGGCACAGAAATGAATAAATTTTGATATCAAATGGCGAGAACTACTGGGCCATATCCAAATCGGCGCTATTGTATCGAGTTGAAGGCTAGATAAGGCGCAGACCTCTGGGAATTCTCGGTTTTCAAAAAATACCCCAGGTTTGAAGAAATTTTCGATGGGAAGTGGAATTCGATCTCAGCTCAGTAATTTTAGTTCACACCAATTCAATGAAGGATGATATTGGTTCAAGTGAATATCCCAGTATATCGCCCAGTCCCTCATTCAGTCATTTCTATTTTGAATAGGTACTAATGCTAAATTGATTCCTTTTTGGAGGTTGTCTCAGTAAAGTTGGTTTAATTTTAGGTTGTGATCCCTTCAACCAATGCGGAACATGTACAACATTCGGTGAATGTGGACAACTCCAGAACTACACTGTATGGAAGGTAGCAGATCATGGTCCAGTAAGTGGCCGTGCTGATATGATGGCCGAAATTTATCACAATGGTCCCATTAGGTAGGTTGACAATGTAACCAAAAACCCCATTGTTGTGAGACAAATTGCATAAAACCACTTCATTTGAAATGATGTAACTGTACAGAAACATTCAAAATGTGGTAGATGGTTGTAAAGGTAATATGTAGCAAATGCCACTAAAGGAGATCATGAAACCTATTTGTCAGATCTTTAGATGTACATGGGAGTTGCCACAACTTGAGAAGATTTGTGTGACGCAATGTGTTTGTGCGTACACGAGCAAGATATCATTTTAACTAAATACACGTACTTTAGCCACTATGAATATTTTTTCAATTTTGCTTATCCATATTTTAGTTGTGGTATAATGGCGACTGCAGGTTTAGAGAAATATCGAGGTGGCGTATATTCAGAATACAGTGCGTCTCCTGGTGTAAGTATATTGTTGGATCTATAACAGAGCAACAGTAGTTGTGCCATTGATAAAAGTCTTGTTTTAACACCAACCAACCAGAATCGGCAGTGTTAGAGGAAACACTGGGAATAAAATGCGTTACTATACTTAGTATTTGATGCATTTTGGTCACTCAAAATTTCCTAATACCATTGGTCTCTTATATAACACATTCATGATTTGTTTATATTTCTTCAGGTCAATCATATCATATCAGTAGCAGGCTGGGGAGTTGATCCTGTTGCTGGAGAGTACTGGATTGTCAGAAATTCATGGGGCTTTCCATGGGTAGGTTGATTAACATATTTCTTTTTTTTAACTCTCCTATTGCGACTGCTCAGGAACTGTCCGTATATCAGAAAGGTGAATTGCTGAAAAGACATGTAACAGTTTATTCTATTGAGATAGTGGCTATGAACCCTTTCTTTTGGCCAAGATTCCGAAGCTGCTGCAGTAAACGAAGTTTTAATTCACCGAGTTGCATAATGAAAGACAGTTATAGAAGAGGCAGATGTTGGTGTCTCAAATCCCGTGTGTCACATACACGGTTTTAACTTGTCAGCCATAAATACAAATGATAATTTGAAAAATCTGATATTTTTTCAGGGTGAGCAAGGATGGTTCCGTATCGTTACCAGTGCCGCCAAAGGAGGAAAAGGCAACAATTACAATTTAGCCATTGAAACAGATTGCGCTTTTGCAGATGTTATAGTTCCAGCAGGATATTAGAATACCATTCCGTGATATTAATACTATTCTTCTTTTTTGTTATTTTTTATTACCAAATAAATATATTTTTTCTGTATGCTGTTGTCTACAATTGCTGTTTTAGTCTGGTGTCTACCCTTCAATATAATTATCATCATTAATAATAACATTGGTATTTATATTGCAAACCAATTCCATCCTCTAGGGCCCTGGTTCCCAACCTTGGGGTATTTTCACCCCCTGGGGTGTGGCAAACTGGTGTAGGAGAATAATTTATTTTGAGTTGAGAGAGCACATCACATGCTGCACAACAAATTTTTGGGGTGTGAAAGGTCCATTGCTCCAGGGGTTTGAAGGCTGAAATAGGTTGGGAACCACTGCGCTAGAAAATGCTCAAGGGTAGCTCACTAAACTTTACAAATGAATGCAAACATCACTGTTGGCGAAAGTCGATCTTAAAATGGACGCCAATGATGTACGGTACGTTATGCAATTTTTCCGTCGATGCTTCAGTCATTTTTCCTAATGAAGATCAAGTGTCGCCTTGAAGACAGGTGCATGGCTGTTATCACGATGATTGGTTCAAAGTAGGGTTTTAATAATTGTCAAGTAGAAGAAACACCAACAGCTTCATGCAAGCACATTGTCTCACCATTGCATATTTTGGAACTTGTAGAACGATCAAGCGATGATGATTCGCATGCGACCATTGAACTTCTTGAAAATGTGCTACGAAGTCGCAGTCCGCTTAAACACAAATTACAGCATTTGCTTATCGTAAATGAAGTGAAATGGACTTTACCATCCAACTTTCTTACATCTGCTCCTGTCACCCTAACACGATTTGAATAAACATGTCTAATATATACACTCTGCAGTTCCTATTTGCCTTCCATAAGAAAATTAAACATCCCATATCTTGACCGCAACACGCAACGTTGTCTGGCCAATACGAACTTTTATATTTAGTTTTTAATTAGGATATCAAAGATGTGTGATAACAGCTTACAAGTTATGATGATTATATAGATATAAACTAGATATCAACTATCACCTAAACTATATATCAATATATATACATCATCAAAAGGTCTTATTGCACTAACGATATAATAATAAACATCAGATATGATGAAAATATTGTCAGTGTTGCTCGCATATTCAGGGCTTTCGTTAGCCTTGTCTGATAAATTTGATCCTCAACAACTGAGCTGTCATGTACCAAAGCATGACTACAAGCCTCGAAGGTAAGGTATTTTAGGTTTGAAGTTCTGTAGTATTCATGCACCAAAAGTGTTTTGTGAATTCATTGGTAGTATATAAAGAGCACCAATTTAGTTTTCTGGACGGTTTTGTTCATCAATGTCAACATTAGAAGTTAAAATTGGATGTTACAGCTTGTTAAATCGATTTTAACTGATACTGTACTCACTGTTCCAACATTTGTATTGCCTCTTGGAGCTTGTCTAATATTAATAGTTCCTGGGGTAAATTTAAAGGCCTTCCAACAAATTTCTTCTACAGGACGTACCCACGACCTCATGAATATATAGATTTATTATCATTACCACGAGAATGGGACTGGAGAAATATAAATGGTACTAATTATTGTAGTCCAACTAGAAATCAACATATTCCAGTATGTAAGTCATCTTGATTTTAAAAACACATTTCAGGGAAATGGGTTTGTAGAAAAGTCTATCGATGACATGCATAGGGAATGGTTGCGGCTCGGCAGTGATAAACAAAATCTAATGCTGGTCGTCATTACAGTTTCTGAACAGGGAAATTATAACGCTTTCCTTGCTGATGCTGAATAGACCTACATACGTACCTTTCATTAGATGCTACATAGACCTACAGATGACTTTCTGTAGATACTACATAGACCTATAGATGACTTTCTGTAGATGCTACATATATCTGCAGATGCCATTCCTTAGATGCTGATAAGACCTACAGACACACCTTTCCTTAGATGCTGAATAGACTTTTAGACATACTTTTCCGTAGATGATACATAGACCTACAGATTCCTTTCCGTAGATGCTACATAGACTTACAGATTCTTTTCCGTAGATGCTACATAGACCTGCATGCATACTTTTTAATTCATGTTCATGTAGTAAAAAACGGAGTATATATCTTTATCATTGAAATTTTTTCAGTCTGTGGAGCCTGTTGGTCGATGGCAACAACAAGTGCATTAGCTGACCGCATAAACATCAAAAGGAAAGCAGCCTGGCCTTCAGCCTATTTATCACCACAGCATGTTATAGATTGTGGACAGTCGGGTACCTGTTTCGGTGGGGATCATAGAGCTGTCTATGCTTATGCAAATCAACATGGTATACCTGATGAAACCTGCAACAATTATCAAGCTACTACACAAGGTACAGCGTTAGCCTTAGCTATTTTATAGGCAAGAGTACCATATTCTTCGCTTATATACTGTGACATATTGACCAAGTCATTCGCGCTCATAACATGATTGACACAGCATTTGTTTTAAGACACGTTAAAATGGTTAGAACCCATTTAAATAAATATATATACATGTTCATAATCTTACTATTCACAGACGTACATTATGCGACAAATACAAGACGTAGCATTTCACCTATTATCAGGAGGATAACTGCAAAGGTGAGGATTTTTTTGTCAGTTAAGTTCTGTACCTTGCGATATTCCATTATTTCAGAGTGTGATCCATTCAACGCTTGTGGAACTTGTACAACATTTGGAGAATGCGAAACTCTCCAGAACTATACTTTATGGAAAGTAGCAGACCATGGTGAAGTAAAGGGTCGTTTGAACATTATGGCTGAAATTTACAAGAATGGACCGATAAGGTATTGTATTAAACCATTTAGTCTGTATAGATATTACACAGATCCGAATGATAGTAGTGATAGAGCCACAATGAGTGATCAGGCTTTTTCTGTGCCATATAGTCTGCAATAACAACGTTTAAAGTATGTTTCTGATATCCAAATTTGAATCTAGTTGTGAAGATTATTATCATCGATAAGCCATTGTAGACAATATAAGAATAATACTTATATAATATTTTCTAGTTGTGGTATTGACGCTACAGTGAAAGTACATGATTACCATGGTGGAGTTATATCACAGAGAACACCTTTTAATTTTGTACGTTTTCTTTATTTTATGACATCTTGAAATATCAACTCTCCACAAATAAGCATTAAGTATCCGCGTGCATAACTTTGATATAATATAACTACACTTGGCTACCGTTAGGACAGTGGCAACTTCCGCAACTATTTATACTGACAATTTCCGCCTCGAATCATTGTTTAGATTAATACTCATATCTCTGCTGCAGCGTATATGATGTCACTCATTAACGGATGTAACCCCTGTCTTGATTCAATGGAAACTTATTACCCCTTTGATCTGAAATCTTGCTTTCCACATAGGTCATGCTGATAGCAATTTAATACGTCTTCTTCCGTTCCAGATTAATCACGTGATATCTATAGCAGGATGGGGTGTGGATCCGGTAGCTGGTGAATATTGGATTGTCAGAAATTCCTGGGGAGAGCCGTGGGTAAGATCTCTAATATATAGCTGTAGGCAATTTATAGACATGGCTGACTGAGTTCGACTTTTGTATCATTTCGAAAAACTACTATCAAGCTGTCATTTAGTTGCCTCTACATGGTGCAGAAAAGTAGGACCTAAAACTCCATTCATTTCATTTCATTTTTCATTTAGTTGCCTTTACCAAATATACTGATATACATTTCAGGGTGTAAATGGATGGTTTAAAATTGTAACCAGTGCTGCTCATAATGGCGAAGGTGCTAAATATAACCTTGGAATTGAAAATTCTTGTGCCTTTGGTGATGTTATTGTATGATAATCAAATCCAATTGTTACAATTAAATATCTCAACTTAGATTGACCAGTTAAGTCAGAAAATAAATAAATTCTATCAAAACTGAGCATATATATTCTACCAATTTGAAAACCTAACAGAAATGTTCAGGTATATTATCTTCTAAACCTACAGAAAAAACATAAATGATACAGTGTTACTCGAACATTATGTACATTATAAGGCTATCGGAATCTTGAAAAGAAATTCTCCATATATTATTAGCTGTACTTGAATGATTATACACTTCCCCTATACCACTCCTCCAGCGTACATCAACATGAAGGAATCTAGACCCGTGACTCCGATATATCGCATATATATTTATCTCCCAACCCTCTTCAAAAAGAGTAAGAAAAGCCATGAAAACAGCGCTCTATACTTCATTCTTCAGGTGACGTTAACTGATCACAAATTGAACTGTTTTTGGTTTGAAAGTATCAAGAGTAACTTCCCCTTCGTCCATACTCTTTCGGCAATATGAAAGAGGTGATAACATCTTATCTGAAATAATCAGTTCAAATCTTGATTTATTTTAATCATATGATGAGTGGTTAACCTGATTATTTACTGTCAGTTATTTTTCAATCAACATGGTGATCAAAATACTTCTTCTTGTTGTGGCTGTCTTGGTTTTCGCTGAGGCCAAACTGAAATATGGAACTTGCTATAAACCTATGAAGAATTACAAGGGTGTCAAGTAAGTAAGTTTTGGAGATTCAAGATTCGTTTGAAAATAAGTGCTGCCCAGATACTTGGTTTGTTTAGAGTGAATGAGCAAGTGTTTAAAACAGCTTGAAAGATATCAGAAAAATATTAATGAGTCCATTCAAATGACCATTGAATATAATGGGCAATCCTACAATTTTAACATAATCTTCTTAACGATTCTGAGATGTTAGATCTCAATAGTAACAATATGGATTTGAAAATTCAACTCTTTCAGAACATATCCTCGACCACACGAATATTTGAATGTTAAAGACTTACCTACATCTCTTGATTGGAGAAACCGTAATGGTACTAACTATGCTAGTACAACCAGAAATCAACATATACCACAATGTAAGTTGATTGTAGTGTCCAACGCATGAATCAATCAGTAATATCAGAATGTAACTGATATATAACTGATGCATCTGGCGACACCATTAATTTTACTATGTTCAATGTAGATTCAAAGGAATCAATCAGTAATATTGTGTGCAGTTTAATATATATGTTACTGATGCACCATGGTGATACCATTGTTTTTACAAATTACGCCATCACATGTGGTATATTTAGGTCCATATACTATATCAAATAGTGGACTAAAAGCTCCTGGTGCTGCCGCTTAGTGTTGCAGATCTGTATCAATTGCCAGGCGTTAAGGACACGGATTTGAGATTTCAAAATATGTACCTCGAACTAATAAACGGATCTTGTATCTTGGTAATTAGATTGTGGTGGATGTTGGGCTATGGGATCAACTAGTGCTATAGCTGATCGTATCAATATCAAGAGGAAAGGTGCCTGGCCTTTAGCATATCTATCAGTCCAGAATGTGATCGATTGTGCTGGAGCAGGATCTTGTGCTGAAGGTGGAGATGATAAAGGTGTCTATGCTTATGCCTATAGTCATGGTATTCCTGATGAAACTTGTAACAATTTCCAAGCGGTAGATCAAAGTAAGTCATCTTATGCTTTTAACGCTTTCCACACGTTGTAACAATTTACATGACTGACTGTCAAATGTAGCTTTTAATGTATCCATACAGCAAACATCTCCACCCGCTTATTCAAACTTTGGATGAAGGTATGCCATGACCATCCCAGTAAATTCAATTTCCATGAAGCTGTACATTAATGATGGTGAGTTTAACCAACTTGTATATATAAATCTCTAAGGTTGTGGCTTCAATTTTCTCAACAATTTCTCAAATGAAATAAATCAGTAGTAATGCCTGAGTAAGGCATATATTCCGCCCTTTAAGCTAAATCCAGTGAACAAACAATTGGAATATTGTTCTTACAGAATGTGACGAATTCAACGCCTGTGGAACTTGTACCACATTTGGAGAATGTGAACAACTTCAGAATTATACTTTATGGAAAGTTGGTGATCATGGTGAAGTCAAACATAGAGACAATATGATGGCTGAAATCTATAAAAATGGACCAATCAGGTAAGAGTCAGGAATCAGGAATCCGTCAACACTGACTGCTTTTATTTCTCGGATCATATTGAACAAAAATACTGCGTTTGTAATAATAGAAGTATATATAATTGAAGTAGGAAAAATGACCCCTTGACACCATTTAGAAAATGATTTTATTCCTTAAGTCGTATGTATTACGATGATTTCTTAAACGGATAAATATATACTTCCAGTTGTGGTATAATGGCAACTGAAGGTTTAGAGAAATATCGTGGTGGCGTTTATTCTGAACATCATTTCTTTCCTATGGTATGTTTTCTATCGTTCATTAAGATAAAAATCGTCAAACTTATAGATTTTCTGAAAAGTGCTACAGCGGCTTAATACTTTAGTGCCTGTCAGTTGTATGACACCGTGCTCTCATGTAAAACATTATGTACTACATTATAGGTCAACCATATAGTATCTGTCGCTGGATGGGGAGTAGACCCAGATAAAGGCGAATATTGGATTGTCAGAAATTCCTGGGGAGAGCCATGGGTAAGTCGATGAATACATTTTGAAACTTAATGATGTTAATGTAACATTAACATTTGTTGCTTTTTCTGTTATAAGACAGTGGAACCACAGACATAAGACAGTAAATTGCCAATAGTGGTAAAAATGTCCTACAAAATTCTCTAAAATCGCTTTGAACTGTTGCAAAAGATTCAGCTGTTAAGAAAGCATTCTAAATAGTTATCACATTTCATCTTATATCTCCATTGGCAGCTACAGTAAACCATACAACATACTTGTTTTTAAAGTATTTAACAGCACACAGCTTTGAAACAAAGAAGATTTAACCTTATTTCAGGGTGAGAGTGGATGGTTTAGGATCGTTACCAGTAAAGGAATGGGAGGTCGAGGTGGCAGTGAAAATCTAGGTATTGAAAGTGATTGTGGATACGCTGATGTTATTGTACCGGGTTACAATTAATCATTTGAACTTTCTTAGGAATTTAAAGACACTATATTAGTAATTCATGCATTCTGAATTATAATTTAGTCAAAACCAATTAAAATGATCAACGTATGATGCACTTAGTACAATATGATCAATATTTCTTTTCAACTGATAAACTAACTTTCTTTCAAAATCATACTATCTATCCTTTTTGAACCCATTTACAAAACAATGCATATAAAATTAAAATGTATTTAATAAAAGTTATTTAAGGAAACACAAGAGTTAAATGATTATTAATAGTAGAATCGTAAGAAAGCGATTGTGATCGAACACAAATATCAATTCGACTGTGACCTTTGCCAAAGAAAGCGCTTCCGGTATCAACAACCTGGAACATAATAAGTTAAATCGATTGATTAGGTTTACATATATCATAATATCAATTATACATCCCTTCTATGTATTTTCAAAATGCCATTTTATAACACAGACCTATAAATCAATCTTTTAAAAGTTAAACTCATCTGCCCAAATATTCGTCAATATACCAATCTGGTATATTTAGGTCCATATACTGTATCAAATAGAAGACTAACACCTCATGGTGCTACCACTTAGTGCCACTATCATAGTATCAATTTCATATATCCCATCTGTGTATTTGAAAAAAAGCGATATTTTCAAAATGCCATTTATAACAAATATTCGTCAATATACCAATAGCGAAGCACTATTTAATCTAATTTGTTGGTTTAAAGAAGATAGTCAATACCAAAGACAGAAATTATAAATTTAATACTTAATGCCAGCCTAGGCATTACGAAGCACCATCTTGATCCATACCAAACAATTACCGTATTGACTTACCTTGAAAACGATATTTCGGCCATGTTTGTGGTTCATTTCAGGGATACAGATGGCAGTACCGTAAGGTATACCGGCTCTGTTGTCCATGGCAACACTTACATAACTAGCTTTTCCGTCTAAGTAATCCTAAAAAATCAAAAGGATATTTTATTTAGATTTACATCACATCTCCGCCTCGAGATCTTAATGACCTCATTTTCGGGGGAAATTTCACTTTCGGATTTCCTCGATTGCTATAATGTATCGTCACAGGTGTTGAAAAACGATATAGAAAATTTTCGTGTAATAATTCACGACATCAGCATCCGAAAATAACATGACTGCACAAACCTGTAAATCTTTCATTTTTATTTGTGCTTTATTACTTCTGTGATTTGGTATTTCTCACCTGTAGGGTTCGGAGATTATGTCCTCTCATATCAACGAATCCACCCTCTAATGCATTATTAGCTGGGTAATAAGCTGTTCCCCTGGCACTGTATCTATGGCCACCAGAGCAGTCTAAACTACCTCCTGAAATAAATTCTATCTGTGAGAAAACCATTCAAAATCATATTTGACCTGATCAACTACAGATATCACATGATGCAACCAAATCACTTGTGGAAACTGAATGATTAGTTACGGGAGGTAACTCTTCATAAAAAAATAACAAAACATAACATTGGAAAAAATTGTTTTAGACTTCTTTGTTAACCCGATCATACCATATATAAATTAATTCCAAATTCAAAAACCCTTCAAGTACATTAACATAAGTTGTTCATACAATCTTTAGAATAACATTCTTTGACCACCAATTGTTCAAATAAGCAATTATTACACCCATCAAGAGATATTTTCTCGTGTCAATGCTAATTTGCTCATGAGCACTAAGATGACATGTCAGGAAAAGAAAAAAAGGCATCTATACACTACATCTGTACCATGAGTCGAATCCAACTTCTGTTTTTGGGCACAACTTGTCACCATGGCACAACCGCCTAACTAGTTTACGGGGTATATTTGAAATATTTATATTCAAGTCGTACAGAAAAACTAGGATATAAGGCTATTTGCATATTCCTTTAGCAACGATACGATGATTATCCACATCTTACCGTTGCTAAAGGAACATGGGCTGATGGTTACATTTCTTGGAAAAATGGACTATTTTGAAAATATTAAAAAATAAATAAAACAAGCTGTATCTTTCACATTGAAGGAAAACCCCATACTGAATTCAAAATATGATCGTAAAATCATATATTGTAGAACACTAGAATAGGGGATAATTTAGTCAAATTTGTTTATGAAACTAGCACACATTCCCTCTTTAGTACTGCTCTCCCAATTTATTTTTAAGTCTTACATTCACTCCCTCTGACCTGAAAAGCTGCAGGTATCACATATCACTTGTGGTGGAAACTGAATGATTAGTTACGGGAGGTAACTCTTCATAAAAAAACAACAAAACAATAACATTGGAAAAATTGTTTTAGACTACTGTGTTCACCCAATTATACCGTATATAAATTAATTCCAAATTCAAAAACCCTTTAAGTACCTTAATATAAGTTGTTCATACAATCCAATAATCTTTAGATTAACATTCTTTGACCACCAATTGTTCAAATAAGCAATTTATTGAATAAAGGCATCTACAAATGTTAAAAAAGGAATACAACAAGCTGTATCTTTCACATTGAAGGAAATCCCCATATTGAATTCACAATACTATTCAACATATATTGAACACTGGAATTGAGGATTTAGTCAAAATGTTTATGAAACTAGCAATCATTCCCCTTGTACTTTTCTCCCAAGTCTTACATACATTCGGTCAGAGACACGAAAACAGAAAAACAACAAGTGAAAAGGTGTTTTTAATTCTATTGATTGAGATAAGGTTTAATAATGAGGCCAAGTTCTGATAAGTTTATATAGAGCATCTCCTGGACAGCTGGTCTGGTTCACATCACGATGACCACGTAGAACATAATCTTTAGATATCTTTCCCTTATCTATGCCACACTGGATAAGTCTCTTGACAGTATTTAGCGCTGCTGCATTGGGTACAACTGAATCAAAACTACCAATAAGACAAATGGCTGGAAAATATACAAATATGAAATGAATAAACGTATTTTTGGAGACTACGGGCCTTCAGAAGATCCATACAGATAAATTGTCCAGATAAATTGACAAAGAGAGTGATTTGCTTGCTTCAACAGATAGATCAGTCAGGACTTCGTCGATCATAACCTATGATAACATATAATTCTATAATACCCGGCCGTCCCCGCTGAATTTTATTTTATTTTTTTTTATACAAAAAACTGAAATTATTCAAAAGACAAGTGCCTGTAACCTGTGATAATATAGGACAACAAAGGATCATCCTGAACATGAGCCATAACATAAAATATACCAACCCACAGCTTTGGAATTATATCCAACTGTGTGTGCACCAATTCTATCCCATCCTCGTCCTTCATAGGCATTACCATCTTCACCAACCAGGAAACTGTAACCGATATCACTCCATCCTATTTATAGATAAATCACAATGGTGGTGATCAACATGAACAATAAACATAACATGTGAACAATAAACGTAACAGATGAACAGTAAACATAACCTAACAATGAACTTAACAGATGAATAACAATAAACCATGTGAGCAACAAGAACTTAACTACTGACCAAACCGATATAAACAAAAATCTTTGTGATTATTACCATAAGAAATAACTTACCATGGGAATCCATGTGGTAATTCTGGTAGCTTCTCACAATTCCTGCACATTGGCTCTGGCTGTGACAGGCACTGCTTTCTCCATGATGGATGAATACCCAATGAACTGGTTGACTTGGAAGATAACTATTGCTCCTGGAAGCCCTGGCACCCCAACTTGCTCTACTTACAATGCTTGGACAGCCTCCCAATACTGACAAAATAAAACCAGATAAGCGAAGATTCTCGTGGGAACGATATGAGGAAGTGAACGAACGAATTGTTAATCAGAAAAGATAATCTCAACGTAAGTCAATCCGACAAAGTATTGGTTATGAATCGTTCAAAAGAGAGTGAAACATATTATACATACCGGCACTTCCACAGGTATCATGGGTAAAGCAGCAGGCGTTACTTCCGGAACAAAGATCAGAGATATAGGTAGAATAGGCACAGCAACTCTTTGATAAGCACTTTCCACTTTTACCAAATTTTGGGTGGTTGTGTTCAGTACATTGGTCGCCTGAAAACAGTATTGGGAAGCTGTGTTATAAGATGAAACTACAAATAATTTCTTAAACTTCCTTTTAATGTTAACTCTGAGAAGAATTCTAAAAACACAATCTGATGTCTTAACGATACAAAAAATATCAGCAAGTAGGGTGTCAATTTATGATGCCAGAAAAGTCAAACTTAAAACCTATATATGAATGCTTGAGATCATTGGTATCTTTAACGTATTCTGCGGCTGAAGCAAGAAAGCATGAAGGTAGAAGCTGTAGTATGCATACTTACTTGACTATGTACCAGCATGTAAGAGGTTAAAGCAGCATAATTTGTAAGCAGGAAAAACACGAGGATAAAGTTTGAAGCGAAACAATAAGCGAGTCGTCGTTTGAATGATACTCATGTAAGTGATATGAGAACGGATCTTGTTCTTTTTAAGTAACAGATCATCTATGTAGTTGATAATTTGGAAACTGTGTGCCCAAATCTTATTCGAAGAGTTGAAATGTACACATGACAATCCAAGTCCCATTTACTGAAGGTAAAGATAAACCAACCTTTAATACACTTGAGGAATTACAGGTGTTAAACCCAAGTCAAAATAAATGACAGGAATAATCATAAAATGTATAAAAAAAAACCCATTTCTCCATAAAAGGGATAATCCAAAAGGGTATACATGTATACACATATATGTTATATTTCTTACCTAGTGCCGACACGATCAAACTAAGAACTATCAAGGCGATCATTTTGTCGATTAAGAGTTAAAACAAACTTGTCACAATATATAAGGCAAAAACTATATCTTCCCAGAACTATTATCTGCTATCTTATCTATATAAGGCATTCAGTACATTCTTCAGTGCTAAGAAATGACGATAATCGGTCCGTTCAGACAATTTTTTTCATTTATATTCCATATCTGGTGCAATAAGGGTATTATCTTCTTTAGTCCAGGGTTCAACCTGAGCAGAGCTATACCCAGTTTTTTCCCGGTAAGTGAGGGGTGATATCGAAAAAGCATTTCTTTTCGGATCGATTGATGTCAATAATAGACTTATTGTTGTCACTGAAACATTATCAAAGTGGCTTCTCGTAGTACTGCCGCTGAACAACATTCACGATATTTTAAAACAATCCAAGAATTGGGAAACTCAATCTAATCCAAATGGACGAGCTACTTTTATTACTTGTAAAGTCTCGTAAATCAAAGTTTATGATCTATATAAACCTTTTTTTTAGTTTGTATTTTATCAAAGACTGTGAGCGACACGCGATGTAAAATGAAATATTGCATAACCCTATAAAAGGCCATTTAGCATAAAAAGTGTCATTAGATAGACGTTTATGTTCATATTCTGGCAGACAATTAACCAAGAGACCAAAGGCTAAAGACACTGTACTCATCTTTAATCAGGGACGCCTCATGAAGACTTTAACATGTCAATTATGTCATGGGCATTATAACGGATGATGTATTTGTAGGAGGAAACAACTTGTAGGAGGAAACAACACGTAAAAATAAAGAAGTGACATTATATATATTATAGGCTTTAAGGCAAAATGTCATCATGCTATAGTAATTACCTTCCCTTCGTCCAAATGAACTTGTACAGCTGATATCCATATACAATGTTCGATAATCATTTGGACAGGAATTCCTATTGAACGGACGGTTATTACCATCAATATCAGCTAATATTGTAGCAAGGATTTCAGAAGATAAATCACCATCCCAAAATAACATGTTTTATTCAATAAGTTAAGATACAGAGAAGATGCTTTGTGAGACAGAACTATTCCAAAATATTCGAACTATAAATGGAATATGGAATATGTAGTTGCATAGTACCAAACCTGAACGATGTTTGTCTTATCTAGTATCGAAATAATCATTGAATTTTTCTATACCAAAACCCAAATTTCGGCAATTATACCAATTACTCGAAAAATTGACAATTGATATGGTCATCTGAATCCAGGCCTTTGCCGCCCATTGATCTGCACCTGGAGAGGAACTTCTGGAAATCCCCTTGTTTTTTCAGATCCACTGCCAGACCATCATAATGTTTCGAGCCACATTTGTGACAGCCCCCAGTTATAGCTGTGATCTGAAAAAAAAGGAATACACAAAGAATCCAAACAGGAAAAGTATGGTATGTTTACCAATCATCACCTTGGAAGGGATCTTTTTAATATTATACGGAAGAACCATGGATCTGTAATTTGATATAAGGCTCCTAGCAAAGCATATTGTATATATTCCAGAATACTCTACGATTACACCTTCAGAAGATAAATTCAGTAAAGTATATTCGTTCCACTAAACACGACAGAGCACCAAAGATTATATAACGAAATGCCTTGATGACTTACGTATATTCCATTAAATCTGGAGATTATTAACGATTCGATATATTGAAGCATTTTGGGCGATAGACATGTTGATCCGCCAGGGGCTGGGGAGGTTTTACACAAATCTGGACAGCTGTAACTGAAAAATACGACAGTTTATAAGAATTACAACGTGGTAAATGTAATGTAATGAATTTTTAAACTAAAAAACTTATTTGTCCAGCCTTTTGGATTACAAAGGCTGTATAAAGTTGATTTGGAATTAGGCTGACGTTTTCAAACTATGTTTTCTTCTCCTCACACGGACATTCAATAGCACTGTTTTTTATGATTGCTTTAGTCTAAGTCTAAACATTCTGAATAAAGGAAATTTGAAATTGGGCTGACGTGCTCTATTTTTTTTCTCTTCTGACAAGTGCCGTTGATCAATGTAACAAAGGTTCCAAATAATGCAATGAACAAAAAGAAATTTTCGAAAAGGGAACAAAGAGCTGAATAAGGTAACCATTTAAGTACTGATTAGAACGTATCTACCTCGATCTTTGTGATTTCTGATTATTACAAGTATGTTGAAGGTTTAATCTGGGATAAGCGTAGTCTTGATGTCCTGATGATGAATGGTTCATCGCTAACGTTATCAATCCATCTCTCTCACGATCCAGAATTCTACAAGCTAGCTGCTTTGATCTCCTGCTACACTCAGCTTTAGCGGCTGTAATACAATACATTATCATTATGATTTATTTATATTAACGAAATACAACACTATGAATCCCATTCATAATTGCTTGTGTCCTACTGTGTGGAGTGCATTATGTTAGGGAACTAATTGAACGTAGATTTTCAGGTTTTACAGATCCATATACATATGCACTGTAAAGACAGAAAAGAAAACACTGAATATCTTCAAGAAGCATATCTTATATGAGTCTGACTACACGGGTTAACAGGCACATTCACACATTACATTCAGTCATACCACAAAAATCTTTAGAGAAGCAGCAAACATCAGTGCCTGGACAGAATCTGGCCACTTGACGGTGGCCTTCACAACAACCATTCTGTATACAACCAATACTAGTAGAGCCTTGAACAACAAGTCCAGTACAGTTATCTCGTGGTGCTCGAACATCAACCGGGCCGGCGGTTGTGAGTTGTCGAACATCGATCGGACCAACGGTTGTGAGCTGTGTTGTCGGTGGTTCTGCAATTAAAATGTCTATGGATATGTATATTTTCGTTTGACTAAAATGAATGACATGACAGTTTCCTCTATGGAAAGAACTGAAGCATGCATGTTCTTGGATCATTACTGGCATTATCAACGATCAAAAAAATGAAAATGAAATAATTGTCGTTTTACATCCTACAATTTATACACAGAGAAATTGAAAGTTGTGTATCTCATTAATTAATGCAATTCTTACGTGTTGTGGGTTCTTGCCGACAGATGTTAGCGGAGAAGCAGCATACGTCTCTTCCCTGACAAACACCCGGTTGGTGAACTTGTTGTTTACTGGCGCAACAACTCTCCTTTACACAACCAGCACCACTAACATTTCCCCTGGACATTAATTCACCGCAGGTAACATGGGGTGTGAATTGCCCTACAAAAACAAAAATAATTTGTAGTTGCGGTTACAAGCTAATTTACAACCAATTGCACACAGTGAAATGGACCATGATGTTATTACTCGATTGAAGATATGTAAGATTTGATCAACACCTGATGCAATTCTGATTTTGCTTTTGAAATATTATTTCTAACATCGCATACAGCAAAAAAAAACAAAAGTTCATACTACCTGTTGGCTGAAAAATCATTGAAGTATCCATCATTTCAAAACTATCTCCGAATGACAGAAATCCAGTGTTGAATCCTTGATCATGAATGATTGTATCTTGATCATTTTGTTCATGAGTGTCATCATCAACTTCGTCTTCTTCCGGATCTCGTTCTTCGCTTTGATCTCGGTGCCTCTTGTTCCTCTTCTCACCTTGTTCCTCGTCCTCCTGTCTGTTATCATCTCGAAGACTCTGTACAGATTTCCTTTTGAATCCCAAATCAAACTTTAAAGAATTGCCTTCTATTGTTGGGTTTAAAATTTGGATTTCAATTCCATCCTTGAAAGTCTCAAGAACACTATTTAGAATGTCGTCGCTAATAATTTGTTTAATTTGCACCTGTGATAGCGGTATACTGATGGCCCTTTTCTGTTCGGATTCGCCACTAACAAGACTCTGTGAGATAACCAACAGAGCACAAACAGCGATTATCAACAGCATTATTTAAAGATGACAACACCATATGGGACTCGGCAGTTAAACTTTAAAATTCACATTAACGGAACAAAAGCTAGAATATGTCAAAAAATGTTAATATATCACAACAAGGAACATCATTCATGTAAACACTTTATCCTGACAGGCGAACAATTTCGCAATATTCATACATACATTTGGATCTACCAATTTGTCAAGTCAGAAATTTGATAATAAAATTTCACAATAATGTTTTATTACCTCAGAATATAACAGAACTTACATAACATAATTCAGGTATACCCAAAGGATTTCGAATGGAAAAGAACAGGCAGATGACACTGCAATATGACTTACGCAATAGTAATTGTTATGCACAGATTTTAACGGTTAGTACCCCATGTTAATATTGTGCACTGGATGGTGAAACAACTTTTAACAAATTTATTTTCTTCATTCGTACATTAGTACACGCCCTGAGCAGGAACCGCATACACGGAGATGACTTGTTCAGAATCAAGGGTTTTCTTAGGTTGACAGTTTTTTTCTCTGAGTACAAACCTTTCCGATTATTGAATCAACAGATAGAGCACATTATCAGCCATCAAAATAGCTTTATAAAATAAGCATCCGACGTCCGATTATATTCCAAATTCAAGGATATCATTTTCATTTATCGATTTACACATTCTGTGCAGCTTTGAATTGTTGGTGAAAAACCTTACTATCATTTGGAGCAAGTGGTATTGTAAGAATGAATACAGAAGGAAGGAATTTGTGGTGCATAGCATTCGATGCTTTGTTTTATCATTTCGTCAACGAAAACAATGATATTTTTATTGTTTCGGCAAAAACATAAGCAGTATTGATATATTAAGGTTTTGGTGATGCCAATGAGCGCTAGTTCTAGGGAAATCTCTTGATTGGCTCAAATACTGATACAAGTACTGACATGGGAAATTTAACCCAATTACAAAACTATGGGGATTTTTCATGCGTTAGATGGGTCCATAGCACAAGAAGCACGATCAAGCAAAAAACTGCCCACACGGTTCGAGAATTGTCGGCAGACCCATTAAAGGAAGTGGGACAGTTGTTTTTGTTGTAAGATAGTGGATAAGGGGAAACTGTTTTTCCCAAAAAATCTGAACGAGGTAATTAAATGTATTTCCAAAGTTTCCCCTCTTTAATTTCGAACAACAGCAAACGAATTAAAGCGTGTACATACGATAGGACAAATCTTCATGATAGGACCCACAAATAATTAAATGAAAAATTGTTATTTTTTATAAATCAACTTTAATATCCATTGACCAAAATACTACAACTAGTAACAAAACATAAACTACTATCCAAAAAATCGACAGCTTATGTATCTTTCGCCACTCTTCCGAACCATTCTAGCTTGTCCGGACATAGATCGACATCTTCTTAAAATGGCTGAATGGTTGTCTGTTTTCTTTAAATCTACAGCCATTCCTTCGTGATGACCAGATTGGCACCGATGACAGCCTCCAGTAATGTTAATGATCTGAAATGATGAACGCAAGCAACATTTTATTCAAGGAATATAATGTGTTATTTCGGTGTTAATAGAACGGTTAATAGGGCTTAATCATCATGTAGACTGAATTTTATAAAAAAGGTATTCTGAGCATGCCACTTTAGAACTTGAGATTTTGAGGAATCCGATGAGGCGATATAAAGCTATTTCTGTTCAAGGTTAACTGGTAAAGCGATAAAAATGGTGATATAAAGATTATATTAGCATTTTGTCATTTAGCTATTGTGGCACGTGTGTTACATAAACCATGGCCAATAAATTTTGATTTTTTTCGCTCGTTTCCTTAACATAGTTCCCATCTAAAATCTTGTATATGTATCTTCACGATAATTTTAACACGATTATAATCTGGGTTATCATGAAATCTTCTCTGTAAATGATGCAGTTCCGAGTAGATGGAAAAACCCTCTAGTTTCTTCGGATATGAATTGACCGAGACCCCGTGTGTTACAGGTTGTATTCGTTACAGATGGCTCGGCGGTTTGAAATCGAAAAATCTTGGCAAATACCGCACTTCTCCAGTAACAGGTGCAGAAAATTAAGGTGTAAAACACCATTTCATTTTTTACCTTTGTTTACCATGAGAGGAGTTTAATGACATGTCTTTGTGCACCTAAACCACGATGAGACTCTCGTTATACGAAGAGAACTGACTTACACTACAATTTGAACATACCTTGACTCTACCGAGATTAGTAAGAGATTGTATAAATCTCAAGAGTTTGGAAGATAAACATGTCGATCCAGATACAGGTGAACAAACTGCATGGCATCCTTTGCTGAAAAAATTACATAAAATGTTTATGCTTGAGTGCTTTTTTTCCATAGTAAGAATTACCATCACGAGAAAAAAATGTCATAATTTTGCTCTTAATGGCACGTGGACTTGGTACAAGTGCTAAGACAGTAAGTTACTTAACATCCCAACTCCCTTTGCACAATTCAAAAAATGGAATTAACTCGGAGAACTGGAACTACAGAATAGAATTTATATTTGTCTTTATGTTTTCAATTGTTCAAACGTACCTTGACCATGGAGTCTTTTGTCGTTTACATGCATCTTGGAGATTTTTCATGGGATTAACGCCAACTTTTGTTGCACCATCTCGTATACTTATTTTACCTCTGTTACTCATCTGTAATATTCGACAAGCTGCTTGTTTGGATCGTGAGTTACAGTCTTTTGTTTCTAAAAAATAGACGAAACATTTATTTTGTATAGCTTTGGGAAATGTCACTTTCTATATACGATATTGCTCAGCTGTTGCGTGAAATTCGATTCAAAACAACCGAAGACCACCTCGATGCGACCTCATATTAAAGCAATTAATTCCTTGCTTCCCAGCCTTTGAGACTCCTGGTACGCCTTGTCGTTATTCATTTCTTGGACCCTTGGGGGCACTCGTGCTCAAGGTTTGAAACCATGGTTTTATATCATATTTTACGCTTTCTATTCGTTTACTTGTACTTGATATTCAAAGCATACTTCAATATAATTGTGCCTTTACACTTTTGGAACACAGATGATTGGTACATATATCAAAGTTTTGTGTATAAAAAAATAAGAAAATCTTATATAAAGGTCATTGTGGACAACTTACGGCAAGTGTTAGACGAAAAACAACACACATTAGAACCTGGACACATGCCACCATCATAATGAGAATCTTGACAACATTCCCTTTTAATACACCCAATGCTGGTAGATCCATTGATTACCTGACCCTGGCAGTTACCAGGGGGTGGAGGTGGGCCCGGTTTATCTGTGGTTACAGATTTCATCGTGGTGGTTTTTGATGGTAGCTGTGCGGTTGTTGAGATTGTAGTTGAGGTGGTGGTTCGCATTGTTGTAGACATCGAAGGAAGCATCGTTGTGACTGGCATCATTGTGGGTATAACTTGTGTTGTAGGCTTTGGCGATATGGTAGTAACTGTATTAAGATCAAGAAGATTGCAAAGGTTATTGGATGCAGAATATCGAAGTAAAGACAATACAACCGTAAATAAAAAATCACAGTCAGGTGCCACGGGGCAGCCCCCCCCCCCCCACCCCCTTACATGCAGATGTACTAGTGAACTTCTGTTCAAGATATAGGGATTTACATCCCAAAGACAACAATCCCCGATGTTTACGAGAAAGTTTCCTTTTTCTTTGTAAAACTACTGTGCAGTTTGTTTGAAATTGTTTTTAAACATCTTACCAATTCTTGTCGGTTTTCTCTCGTCTTCTCTCGATTCCCTGCTTTCCTTAGACTCTTCATTCTCGTGTTCTCTTTCTCTTTCATTCTCTTTCCTGTCATCTCTTTCTTTGTCGTCGTGTTCGTCATGACCACCTTCGTTGTCGTGGTTGTCATCTTTTGAGTCGTGGTCGTCATCTTTTGAGTCGTGCGTGTCATCATTTTTATCGTTGTGGACAGGGTCCTCTGGGTCATCTAATTCTTCCGATGAATCGTGGTCAATAATGACATCGACATTCATTGTATAAAGTATTGAGTTTAAAGCCGCATCTACAATCATATCACCGATAGTACTACTTAATACGGAACCTGATACAGGTATATTTCCATTTCTATTCCCCATATTGTTCTTATTGCCATTGCCACCATTCATGCTTTTATCATCTATATTTCTCTTTCCGTTTCTATCGCCATTCCCGTTTCTTTCATTTCCATATCCCTTATCGCCATTTCCATTTCTCTTATCGCCATTTCCATTTCTCTTGTCGTCATTTCCATTTCTCTCATGGCCATTTCCGTTTCTCTTGTCGTCATTTCCATTCTCGTCGCCTTTATTCTTTCCAAAGTCATCATTATTTTTGGCATTACCGAGATTCGGATTATTGAATTTCCGACTTCTTGAGTCAACCACTGGTCTTCTTCTAACAGCATTATATTTATCACGGTTACTATTATGTCCACCTTCATCATGACCCCCTTTGTTACCTGAAAGGTTCTTTCGTGAATCACGATGATCTCTTCCTCCATTACCATTATCCTTCCTTCCATCGCCATTATTTCTTTTGTCGCCATTATGTCCTCTATCACCATTTCCATTGTCAATACTTCCTTTGTCGTCATTATACCCTGTATCGCCATTCTTATCGCCTTTATGTCCCCCTTCGCCATTCCTATCGCGATTATATCCTCTATCGACATTCCTATGGCGATTATATCCTCTATTGACATTCCTATCGCGATTATATCCTCCTTCGCCATTCCTATCGCGATTATATCCTCCTTCGCCATTCCTATCGCGATTATATCCTCCTCCGCCATTCCTATCGCGGTTATATCCTCCTTCACCATTCCTATCGCGATTATATCCTCTATCGTTATTCCTATCGCGATTATATCCTCCTCCGCCATTCCTATCGCGGTTATATCCTCCTTCACCATTCCTATCGCGATGATATCCTCTATCGTTATTCCTATCGCGATTATATCCTCCTTCGGCATTTATATCGCGATTATATCCTCCTTCGGCATTTCTATCGCGATTATATCCTCTGTCACCATTCATCCCCTTTTCCATACGATAATAGCTCCTC